ATGAAAGTAACTGATAACAAAATTATATTTCCTATTGTCAGAGGTCACAAGAAGAAGTATTCCAATCATTCGCACTCTATAATAATATGTAGTTCTAGTATTTACTCTATTAGAAGCACAAGAAAAGTATGTATTGTATAATGAATAATATATACTTTTTCTTCTAGTACTGATAGCAAAAATATGGGAGTCAAATTTCAGAAACAATATTTAAAATTCTCTTCTCGCACATAGACTAGACAACATGTGATAAACAAAGCATGTCCACATACGGTGTATATAAACACCATTATTTAATTACCTAGAGGGTCTTACTACAACAAGGCTACATAACTTACTTGTATTGACATGAGACATTTCTGAACGCATGATAACTGCTGCTTTACAAGTATTACAGATACTAATTATTTTGAGGTATGTTAAAAAACAATGGATATACATGTACAAGATGCAAATCACTAAAAGAGTTTTGTTGTAACTGAACATTTTAAAATTCTGCCTATAGAGGGCAGCATTGCAGGATGCTATGATTTCTTGGTTGTGCTGAATATGTTACCAGTGATCGGACAGACGTATTTATTCTTGGCACACTGTGTATGAGTGATGACTCCATTTGGGTACCGCGCAAATGTTGTATCATTGAATCGACGATTGCATACTGAACACAGCCTGAAACGAGACAAAACAAAAGAATTTTTAGTCCTAACCTCAGTGATGTTAAACACAGAATCGGATTGGATGGCACAGGCAATACCTCACAAGGTTTACTATTAATTTAAATGAAGACTTTGACTGGAATACCATTATAAATAGCTCAAAAACAACCAACCATTTACTACCACAAATGACCCTTTTAAAAAAAAAATATTCCACACCCTAGCTACTCATTTAAAAACATCACAAGAAATTCTTGATCCACATAACATAAGAACAAGCCATGATAACATTTTCCCTATAGAGAGTGGATAGTATTGAACAATGCAAAGAAGAATGATATTATTATACAACCAGTAGAATACATACGGTTGTCATGGAGAAATGAACTTATATTGTGTTATGACTACTCCAGAGGAAACTTTGTTAATTCCAACTACAACACAAAGGCTGGATGTGACGAGGCAACCCACTTTATACCCACTGAACCCAAACCACTTCTATGGGTTACCAAAAATCGATAAAAAAACAATGTATTACAAGTATCACTATCATCCCACATAGCTAGATACATCTACTATCACCTAATAACCATTGTGAGGTCATCACCATAGCAACCATAAATGTGGTTTCACTGTACACACATCCAAGAAAGTTATGATTGATCATAACATGACAAAATTCTACCCAAAACTTAAAGAATTTGTTTTGATGAATAACTATTTCGCATTCAAAAAAAAATTTTATCAACAAATATTAATATAAGTGTAATATAAGTGTAAATACCAAATGCTTCAGCATGGTATTAAGAGTTTGTTTTCAGGAGTGGGTGATACCAATGTGGAAAATGGATATGGGGTAATTCCTGGAATTGCAATAGAGAGGATTCAGGTTGAAATAAAAATATGTAGTGTTTACATAGAAAGAGGCTATTCCATTCTATGCAGGAATAATTGGGATTAGAATATGTGAGTATTATACTGGTTTGAAAATGTTGAATTTACATGCTTTGTGATGTTTTTTTTGTTTACTGAAAAACGCCCCTAATGGTTGAATCCGGGTTTGAAGGAGAATGGAACAGCTCACCATGTGATTCGTTTGAATACAATGGTGAAGGATTGGCATGATAGGCCGCTGTTCGATCTCGTGGAAAATTTCGAAGTCAGTCATACGTAGTTTAAATTTATGTTGAAGTTAAAAGTTCTTCTACAGAATTTTGCATTGGCAAACATGCCGTGCAACTGCAGTACTCCACTGACAGGATGACTTTCGTTGACAGCGGTCGACACTGACTGCACACTACAACTTCATTTGCGATTTTGCTTGCTAGCCGTGGATTTAATGAACTTGATTACCGGTTAAAATGTCGCTCATTTATTTGGAACTGGGTAACACCGCAACATCTCCAGCAGAAACCTCCTAGTACTTTGATGTTGATGGTTGTGCCTCCACGGCAATCACTAATTTTACTGCGGGTGGGTCTTCCGAGAGTCCTTCAGGGTTTATAAAACTCAGTTTCTAGGTGGTCAACATACATCAAGTTCTCACAATCGTAGTATTTCATGTGATGTACACCTAATATGCCAAAAATGTTGCTGAACGATTTGAACTGGATAAAAATAGCAGACGAAAATTTTATTACAAAATAAAAATAGTTTGGTTGCCAATGAAAATACCATGTAAATTTGCATATCGACTGTGAAAATACCGAAAACATCATGCATGGGTGATATGCAAATTAGTTTTAGTAAAAATACCAGTAAGTGACTGCCTAAAAGTAGCATTACTGTTGTTCAAATTTTATTTCACTCTGCAAGTATATTCATGTGCCCCAAGGATAAAATATCGTACTTCTAAATATTGCTTATTTCTGCTATGTTTCGAAAAAACTACTCCTGAATGAACTGTTTGCTCTCAGACCTCATTTGCATATGGGGTGTGGAAATACCGATTTTGATTTCAGGAACGAATCAAAATAAACTGCAGTACATATGTAATAATGTAGAATACTTCATTTTCACTGAAAACATTTTTCCGCTATAATAAATTCCAGTGAAAATGCCATTTCTCTCATATTGAGACTAGACGCAGCACAGTGAAAATTAGATACACACATAATGCTTGAAAACTTTTCAGCCTAAAAATAAATTAAGTGAAATTCTATGCGACTTCCTGAGAGTTGGAAATGAACAAATTATATGACACCACCCCTACATATACACTACACCCCTAAAACATCATTTCACCAGTGTATTCTATTTGACTTCAGGAGAAATTGAAAAAACAAATTATATGAAAACGAACGTAATTATAATTTCAGCCTCAAGTTCGACACTGATCAAATAAACTACCTTGTCTTTATGCCAAGTTATTCGTTGCCTACATCAGAGACTTCAAAATCTATGTTTCAATCCCAGGAATTTCACTTGCTATTAATTTCATGGGAGTGCCAGTCTTTTATTTCCTATTGTAATGTCAATTTCGTGCGATTACTTAAAACATGAAGCTGTAATCACAGAACATCTAGATGCTGTAACTACATCCTGGTATAGTAAGCACCGGTTAGGCAGGCTTGAACTATGCATGTGAAGCCAGCTAAGATATATATCTAATCCTATAGATTTCTAATTGTTTGGTAACTATTTGCTGCAAATGTAACAAAAATGATATAAAAACATTACCTACACAGTTACTTGTATAAATTAGTAGTTGCATTGGACAATAACAGTCTACTACATGCTTACAATAGAAGATGGAAGAGTCCATTATTAGTACTATAGTAGATAGAACAGTCTACCACATAGGTACAATAGTAGATAGAACAGTTTACCTCATGGGTAGGAGAGTAGATGGAAGAGTCCACCACATTGGTACTACAGTAGATAGAACAGTCTACCACATGGGTACAATAGTAAATAGAACAGCTTACCACATGGATAAAATAGTAGATAGAACAGTTTGCAACATGGGTACAATGGTAGATGCAACAGTTTAACACATGGGTACAATAGTAGATGCAACAGTTTAACACATGGGTACAATAGTAGATGGAACAGTCCACCACATGTGTACAATAGTAGATGAAACTGTTCACCACGTGGGTACACTAGTAAATAGAACAGTACACCACATGGGTACAATAGTGGATGGAACAGTTTACCACATGGGTACAATAGTAGATAGAACAGTTTGTCACATGGGTACAATGGTAGATAGAACATTCTACCACATGGGTACAATAGTAGACAGAACAGTGTACCACATGCGTACAATAGTAGATAGAACAGTACACATAATGGGTGCAATAGTAAATAAAACAGTTTACCACATGGGTACAATAGTAGATAGAACAGTACACCATATGGGTACAATAGTAGATGGAACAGTCTACCACATGGGTGCAATAGTAAATAGAACATTCTACCACATGGGTACAATGGTAGATGAAACAGTTTACCACATGGGAACAATATTAGATAGAATAGTCTAGCAAATTAGTACAATAGTAATTGAATCAGTTTCCACATGGGTACAATAGTAGATAGAACAGTACACCACATGGGTACAATAGTAGATGGAACAGTCTACCACATGGGTGCAATAGTAAATAGAACATTCTACCACATGGATACAATAGTAGATAGAACAGCAAACCACATGAGTGCAATAGTAAATAGAACAGTTTACCACATGGGTACAATAATAGATGAAACTGTTCACCACATGGGTACACTAGTAAATAGAACAGTTTACATGTGTACAATAGTAGATAGAACAGTTTAACACATGGGTACAATAGCAGATAGAACAATCTATCACATGGGTACAATAGTAGATGGAACAGTTTACCACTTGGCTACAATAGTAGAAGGAACAGTTTACCACATGGGTAAAATAGTAGATGGAACAGTTTACCACACGAGTACAATAGTAGATGGAACTGTTTACCACATGGGTACATTAGTAGATGCAACAGTTTACCACATGGGTACAATAGTAGATGGAACAGTTTACCACATGGGTACAATAGTAGATGGAACAGTTTACCACATGGGTACAATAGTAGATAGAAAAGTTTACCGCATGGGTGCAATAGTAAATAGAACAGTTTACCACATGGGTACAATAGTAGATAGAACAGTACACCACATGGGTACAATAGTAGATGGAACAGTCTACCACATGGGTGCAATAGTAAATAGAACAGTTTACCACATGGGTACAAGAGTAGATGAATCAGTTTACCACATGGGAACAATATTAGACAGAACAGTCTACCAAATTGGTACAATGGTAGATGTATCAGTTTACACATGGGTACAATAGTGAACAGAACAGTCTACCACATGGGTACAAAAGTAGACAGAACAGTACACCACATGTGTACAATAGTAGATGAAACTGTTTACCACGCGGGTACACTAGTAAATAGAACAGTTTACCACACGAGTACAATAGTAGATGGAACAGTTTACCATATGGGTACAATAGTAGATGAATCAGTTTACCACATGGGAACAATAGTAGACAGAACAGTCTACCACATGGGTACAATAGTAGACAAAACAGTGTACCACATGGGTGCAATAGTAAATAGAACAGTTTACCACATGGGTACAATAGTAGTCAGCATAGTCAACCACATGGATACAATAGTAGATGAAACAGTTTACCACATGGGTACAGTAGCAGATAGAACAATCTATCACATGGGTACAATAGTAGATGGAACAGTTTACCACATGAGTACAATAGTAGATGGAACAGTTTACCACATGGGTACAATAGTAGATGAAACAATTTACTGCATGGGTACAACAGTAGATGGAAGAGTCCACCACATGGGTACAATAGTAGATGGAAAAGTTTACCATATGCGTACAATAGTAGATAGAAAAGTTTACCACATGGATACAATAGCAGATAGAACAATCTATCACATGGGTACAATACTAGATCGAACAGTTTACTACATGGGTACAATAGTAGATGGAACAGTCCACCACATGGGTACAAGAGTAAATAGAGCAGTTTCCCACATGAGTACAATAGTAGATGGAACAGTTTACCACATAGGTACAATAGCAGATAGAACAGTTTACCACATGGGTACAATAGTAGATGAAACTGTTCACCACATGGGTACAAAAGTAGACAGAACAGTGCACCACATGGATACAATAGTAGATAGAACAGTACACCACATGAGTGCAATAGTAAATAGAACAGTTTGTCACATGGGTACAATAGTAGATAGAACAGTCTACCACATAGGTACAATAGCAGATAGAACAGTTTACCACATGGGTACAATAGCAGATCGAACAATCTATCACATGGGTACAATAGTAGATGGAACAGTTTACCACTTGGGTACAATAGTAGATGGAACAGTTTACCACATGGGTAAAATATTAGATGGAACACTTTACCACACGAGTACAAGAGTAGATGGAACTGTTTACCACATGGGTACAATAGTAGATGCAACAGTTTACCACATGGGTACAATAGTAGATGCAACAGTTTACCATATAGATACAATAGTAGATAGAAAAGTTTATCGCATGGGTGCAATAGTAGATAGAACAGTACACCACATGGGTACAATAGTAGATGGAACAGTCTACCACATGGGTACAATAGTAGATGGAACAGTCTACCACATGGGTACAATAGTAGATGGAACAATCTACTGCATGGGTACAATAGTAGATAGAATAGTTCACCACATAGGTACAATAGTAGATGGAACAGTTTACCATATAGATACAATAGTAGATAGAAAAGTTTACCGCATGGGTGCAATAGTAGATAGAACAGTTTACCACATAGGTACAATAGTAGATGAAACAGTTTACCATATAGGTACAATAGTAGATGGAACAGTTGACCACATAGGTACAATAGTAGATGGAACAGTTGACCACATAGGTACAATAGTAGATGGAACAGTTGAACACATAGGTACAATAGTAGATGAAACAGTTGAACACATAGGTACAATAGTAGATGGAACAGTTGAACACATAGGTACAATAGTAGATGGAACAGTTGAACACATAGGTACAATAGTAGATGGAACAGTTGAACACATAGGTACAATAGTAGATGGAACAGTTGAACACATAGGTACAATAGTAGATGGAACAGTTGACCACATAGGTACAATAGTAGATGGAACAGTTGAACACATAGGTACAATTGTAGATGGAACAGTTGACCACATAGTACAATAGTAGATAGAACAGTTTACCACACGAGTACAATAGTAGATGGAACAGTTTACCATATGGATACAATAGTAGATGAATCAGTTTACCACATGGGAACAATAGTAGACAGAACAGTCTACCACATGGGTACAATAGTGGACAAAACAGTGTACCACATGGGTGCAATAGTAAATAGAACAGTTTACCACATGGGTACAATAGTAGATAGAACAGTTTGTCACATGGGTACAATAGTAGACAGCATAGTCAACCACATGGATACAATAGTAGATGAAACAGTTTACCACATGGGTACAGTAGCAGATAGAACAATCTATCACATGGGTACAATAGTAGATGGAACAGTTTACCACATGAGTACAATAGTAGATGGAACAGTTTACCACATGGGT